ACATTTGTAAAATGGTAAACAGCGTTACTGCTTATGAAGTATATATATTTTCTTTAGAGAAGTACATACTGTAAGAAAAGCAAACACTAAACTCTTTTCCATGCCTCAGAATTTCTTTGAAAAGACCATGATAAATTGAGATTTATATAAAAATAATTGAATTTTCTCCTCTTTAGAATATATATGATATGTTTATTACTAATTAAGTTCACATCATGACGTTAAAGTATATATGATTGACGTCATGACGTTAAAGTAAGTAACGGCAAACGTCAAGACGTTGTAAGGTTAACATTGAGAACATCCCAAAATTTCAAACAGCTGTAAAAATAAAACTAGAAGAGATATTGTTAAAAAATAAAATGTTATATAATATACTAATCTAAGAGCATTGTTTGAAAAAGTTTCATCCGTTTGATGACAGGGCGGATTTTTGTACATTCTGGCTTAAGTCATTTTAAGATAATTCCTGAATATTTAAAAACCTGAAAATAATATCCTTGTATTTACATTAGGCAGTAAAGAACAACTTAACATTGAATGTATATTTAAACAATTATGAAGCTTGTGTTATATAGAATGCCAGCCTTCAAGGAATGCAAATATCATGAAGGCTTGACCTTAACTTCAAACAAACAGCAGTTGCAGACAAAGGTTTTCATTAATCTTAAAGATAAAGAAAAGCCTACTAAATTTTCTGCAGCAGGCTAGATAATTAATCCCAAAGGATTAATTGTACCTCTCTCATCATTTTCTTCTAAAGTTACAATAAGAACTTTTTCAGTATTAATGATAGAATGGGGTTTTTATACAACTACCTTAAAAATTAATTAACATAAAGTGAAAAAAAGTAAATCAAAAAATCTTTTTTAATCTATTTCTTGTTTTTAGCATTCAATGAAATCATAACTATTAAACAAAAATAAATTACAAAAATTTATATTTAAATCCACATTTCTGAGTGTTCATAGCATTCCAAATTGACTTAACTTCAAAACAAACTTCATTTGCAGATAGAGGTGGTAATTCATCTCAATGTGACAGATAAAGATAATGCTCTGGATTTTCTTCAGGAGGAAAGCTAATTAATCCCAAGGGACTCATAGCCAGCATTCAGTTTAGATGGGAACATCTTCAGCGAGTTATCTCTCTTTGCCAATGCATTCTTCTATAGACAAGTTAGAGGAGTTCTACCCACCACCCCAGCTCCAAACCAGGGGACATAGAGAACCAAACTTAGCATCAAAATATGTATTTCTGCCTACTGAACTACCATACCAAATTTGTACTTGATTGGGCAACCATAAAAAAAGTTGCCCATTCATTCTTATGCATAGTTAAGGAATCTACCCCACCACCCCAGCTCCAAACCAGAAAACATAGAGAACCAAACTTAGCATCAAAATATGTATTTCTGCCTACTGAACTACCATACCAAATTTGAACTTGATTGGGCAACCATAAAAAAAGTTATTAGAAAAAAACAGAAAATTTGTGGACGGAAGAGTGACAGACGGACAGACAGAGTGATTACTATAGGGCACCCGCAAATCCTTGCGGGGCCCTAATAAAAACAAGAGGCCCATGGGCCACATCGCTCACCTGAGCACCAAGGGTAGGACTAGTATAAAATGGCTTTTTATTGTAAAGTTCAAATCCAAAAGTAGTCCCATGACCAATCTTGGATTTGCTATTTTTTAGAAAATGATTGAGAAGAAGATTTTTAAAGAATTTTCCTATATATTTCTATGTAAAAATTTGGTTGGCCATTTTGGCCCCGCCCTACCCCCGGGGGTCATGATTTGAACAAAATTGAATCTACACTACCTGAACATGCTTCCATATAAATATGATGAATAATGGCTTTGTCCTTCTTGAGAAGAAGATTTTTAAAGAATTTTCCTAAATATCTCTATGTAAAACTTTGGTCGGCCATTGATTTGAACAAATTTGAATTATGGCTTTGTCATTCTTCAGAAGAAGATTTTTAAAGAATTTTCCTATATATTTCTATGTAAAACATTGGTCCCTGGGGGGGATCATGATTTGAACAAACTTGAATCTACACTACCTGAGCATGTTTCCATATATATATGATGAATTATGGCTTTGTCATTCTTAGGAAGAAGATTTTTAAAGAATTTTCCTATATATTTCTATGTAAAACTTTGGTCGGCCATTTTGGCCCCACCCTACCCCTGGGGGTCATGTTTTGAACAAACTTGAATCTACACTACCTGAGCATGTTTCCATATAAATATGATGAATTATGGCTTTGTCCTTCTTGAGAAGAAGATTTTTAAAGAATTTTCCTATATATTTCTATGTAAAACTGTTGGCCCCGCCCTCGGCCATTTTGAACAAACTTGAATCTACACTACATGAGCATGCTCCCATATAAATATGATGAATTATGGCTTTGTCATTCTTGAGAAGAAGATTTTTAAAGAATTTTCGGTAAAACTTTGGGTTTTTGGCCCCGCCCTACCCCCTAAAGTTGAACAAACTTGAATCTACACTACCTGAGGATCTTTCCCATAAGTTTCATCTTTCCTAGCAAAGTGGTTCTTGAGAAGAAGATTTTTAAAAATATACCACTAAATTTTCATTAATTCCCAATTATCTCCCCTTGAATAAGGGTGTGGCCCTTCATTTGAACAAACTTGAATCCCCTTCACCCAAGGATACTTTGTGGCAAGTTTGGTTGAAATTGGCCCAGCGGTTCTTGAGAAGAAGTCGAAAATGTGAAAAGTTTACATACAGACAGACAGACGGACAGACAGACAGCCGGACACAAATGTGATCAGAAAAGCTCACTTGAGCCTTCGGCTCAGGTGAGCTAAAAAACTATTACAAATTTGTTAGTGTGTTCGGATAATAGGCACCTAAATAAAAAAATTATCATATTGATAATAATAATGAAAAAGGAAAACATAATACATAATATAATTTATAGATTTATTATTTTTTCATACACCCCATTCTTTTAAAATTTATATCTATGAAAGGTAAAAGTCTTGATATATAACATTCAAGAAAAAGTATTTCCCAAATATATAGACTCCAGCCAAGCCATCGTCTGCTGATATTCCGGTGTCATCTGATGTTCCGGAAGCTGTCCAAGATCACCCATTCAGCAACAGTAGTGTTCAAATTACAGACGACAACTTGGAGAAGAAACGGAAAATAACCAGACCCTACAGTCAAAAAGAAAGTGATGAAAGGTGATTAAAGATGAGATGTCTTAAGAGTATTTCTAATACAGTTGAAAATTTATCCCTACATGACAATTGTTATTCTATAAACCAACTTTATCCCGGGAACATTAATGAAAATCGCTAACCATTTATTTTGATTTGTATTTTTAGAAAACAAGAAATTCACGAATATTTTTTATATTCAAGATTAATTTAATTTTCGTTCTTTTTAGTATACATACAAGAAGTCATAAAAACGGATCCCATATAATTTATCTTAGGGTGGGAGTAATTTATTCCTATAAAATTTTCCTCCGCATTTCATCCACTTTCATCCAGAAACCTGATTTCCCGATAAATTTCTGGCTCCGCCTCCTTCGAATATTAATGAAACATACTAAAAATACAATTCGGGCAAGTGCATTACTCCGGACGTATTACCAAGAAAATGGGCATTTTTAATTTACATTAACAAAAATTTAGCGCAGTTTTTCATTTTAAAAAATTTTAGTTAAAGACCGCGGAACATTAACTGTCAAGATTGGAAATATACAGCTTACGTCATTTCTATCTGCTACAATCAAAACATTCAGTGATAGACAATGAAATGTGCGGGTACAATTCGACGCCGACGTGGGGAAAACATCGGAGTGAAACTGCAGATTGAAATTCATTCTCAATCCACCTCAGCCAGGCTAGAAGGCACATTATTACTGATTGACCCAAAAGACAAATAATTATGTTCCCCAAAACGGAGTTTGGGGACATATTGTTTTTACTCTGTTTCTTATTATTAAGTCTTCCGTTCACAACGGAAGACTTATAGTGTTTGTATTGTTTCTTTTTAAGACCTTATTGTTTTCCTTCTGTTTTTTATTATTATTATTCTTTTTTCATAGTACAGCCGATATCTCAGCTATGAGTAGACAGATTTCAACGATTTTTTCAGGGAAGATGCATCATGAGAATATCTCCAGACGTGTTTTTCATTTTTTCAAAATTTACTTCCGTTCGCGATTTTTGGGGATTTTTTTATTTTTTAGAAGGCATTTTGTCCAGCAGTTTTCTTGAGAACAGCTAAAGATATGAAAGTGAAACTCACTGAGGTGATAGAACATCGAACTCCGTTATGGGGAACGTCCTTTATTTTTCGTCGTCGGCACTTCCGGTCGCAAACGGAAGTGAATTCAAAACGTCCGATTTTTCAACTTTTTTGTTTTTGAATATTTTTCTTTAGGATTTACATGGTTTATAGAGTGTCTTATGAGAATTCTAAATATGTGTTCAATATCTTGATGCGTGCATATATTGAAAAGATATGACCAAACCAAACTTTGTCCCACTGTTGTGGTTTCGAATCCTGCTGTGGGCGTTGAAATATTTTTTTTGTTTCTGTCTTTTTTCAGTTGCAAATGACTTTTCTCTCTTTTTTAACATGTATTGAAGATTTTGCCGATTTTTAAAACCTTTTTTTGAGATATTTTGAGGAATACCTGTAATAATCATGAGATATGTTGAGAGGCTGCTGTAAATGAACATAAACGAAAGAAATACATTCTGAAATTTTATGGGATGACGCAGCATAGAATTCTAACGAAAATCGGTCGGAAGACCTGCTTGTTGACCCAGCAACAAGAACGCATCTAGTTATTAAGGTCTTCCGTCTCCAACGGAAGACCTTCTTGTTTTCGTTCGGTTTCTTTTTCCCTATTATTATTATTATTCTTCCAACCGATTTTGTGCAAGCGATTTCTCAGAGATGGCTCGTCCGATTTCTACCAAACTTTCAGATCTGAAAGATATTCAATTGGTCTTGATAGGTTTTTTTCGTTTTTGATTATCTCACTTCCGGTCGTGAGATATGGACGATTTTGTGATTTTTAGAGGGTCGGCTTGTCCGGGAAACTCCTCCGAAACGACTTAAGATATGGACTTGAGATTTTCAGGGAAAATAGAGAAAGGTTTGGTGAGTTGTAATTGGGTCTCCAAATCTTTCTAGCGCAAAAGGCAACAAAGTTCGGTGGGGCCAAAAAAAATGTCTCAGAAATATCTCACAAAATTTGACATATTTTGTCTCATATCTTCACTCCTGTTCATAATTTGTTAAAACATATTGAAGACAAAATGTTCAATATCGCAAGACCTTTCATTTGATATAAAAAAAATAGGGCTGACCCTTCAAATTAGGGGCTAAGAGGGGCCAAAAGTCTTTTGTCTATAACTCTCTAGAGATCAATTCTTTGTTATACATTATTGATCAAAAGTATTCATCTTAACAATTAGATTATAAATATCTAAGTTGTTTGAAAATTGGTTTATCCGAATTCTAGATATTAATATTTAAAAATCTGAAGCGGGCCCAAGATGGCGGCTGTCTTTGTCAATTCCGAATTCCGCCATTTCGCAATTGGGGTTTATGGAGGCAGCTGAGCGTTTGATTAAACCATTCTGACATACGAATGCATGAAATGTAAACAATATTACTTGGACTTTCACGTAGTAGTGCGTTGCAATTCAGTGTCGATCTTAACATTTAATTTCCGTTTCACTACTTAAGTGTAACTGGGCTAGATACGATAAATGTAATGTGTACAAAGACTTTTTAAACGTCGAAATAAAATAAAGGCGATAAGAACGTTTTATTTATTTTATTTCATTGTAGCTATCACACCAATTTAATAGATAAGTTCTAAGAAAATGCACGAATATTTACTCCTGGCGTTTGGCGCAAATTATTAATAGTGACCGGCCTTTTATGATTCTTAGACAGGTGTACTGTTGCAAAAGTATACACACAAGTATATTTAGAGCAGTACTCCCAAAAGCTTAATGGTTTGCGCGTTGGGGATGAAACAGAAAAAGGCGACATGGGTTCAATCCTCTTTGCGACCAAAATTTTGAATCTTTTTCTGTGATATTCATGGCATAGGTAAAGGTCCCTATTTGCTGATTTAACGTATAATCAGTTTCTTGATTTGATAAAGAAGAAATTAATTATCTTTTAATGTCTTAGAACTTTCGCAAGCGTAGGTTCAACGTTTTCTTAAACACTAAAAAATATTCATTTCATTTTCTCATAAATAGGCTGCGCCGATAATACACATGGTGCCAATGTGCAAGTAAGGTCATCCCCGTGATGGGGAATGGACCTGTAGAAAACCTTCTCTGGTTCTGCAGAGTCGAGTTTTTAACAAATAAAATGTATGAAAATGCACGAATATTTACTTGTGGCGTTTGGCGCAAATTATTGATAGTGACTCGCCTTTTATGATTATTAGACAGGTGTACTGTTGCAAAAGTATACACACAAGTACATGTATATTTAGAGCAGTACTCCCAAAAGCTTTATGGTTTGCGTGTTGGGGATAAAACAGAAAAAGGCGACATGGGTTCAATCCTCTTTGCGACCAAAATTTTGAATAACTTTTCAGCTCGATTATACGAGATTTCTTTTCCTGAATAGGACGGAAGACCTCTCGTTGCTAGCAACGAGATCGTTTCTAGTTATTATTATTATTCTTCCAACCGATTTTGTGCAAGCGATTTCTCAGAGATGGCTAGTCCGATTTCTACCAAACTTTCAGATCTGAAAGATATTCAATTGATCTTGATAGGTTTTTTTTCTTTTTGATTATCTCACTTCCGGTCGTGAGATATGGACGATTTTCTGATTTTCAGAGGGTCGGCTTGTCCGGGAAACTCCTCCGAAACGACTTAAGATATGGACTTGAGATTTTCAGGGAAAATAGAGGAAGGTTTGGTGAGTTGTAATTGGGTCTCCAAATCTTTCTAGCGCAAAAGGCACCGGAGTTCGGTAGGGCCGAAAAAATGTCTCAGAAATATCTCACAAAATTTGACGCATTTTGTCTCATATCTTCACACCTGTTCATAATTTGTTAAAACATATTGAAGACAAAATGTGCAACATCGCAAGACCTTTCATTTGATGTCAAAAAAATAGGGCTGACCCTTCAAACTAGGGGCTAAGAGGGGCCAAAAGTCTTTTATCTATAACTCTCTAATGATCAATATTTTGTTATACATTACTGAGCAAAAGTATTCATCTTAACAATTTTATGCTTACTATATAAGTTGTTTGAAAATTGGCTTATCTGAATTCTATATATTAATATTTGAAAATCTGAAGCGGGCCCCAGATGGCGGCTCTTTGTCAATTCCGCCATTTCGCAATTGGGGTTTATGGAGGCAGCTGAGCGTTTGATTAAACCATATAGACATACGAATGCATGAAATGTAAAAAAAACTACTTGGACTTTCACGTAGTAGTTCGTTGCAATTCAGTGTCAATCTTAACACGTAATTTCCGTTTCACTACTTTAGTGTAACTGGGCTAGATACGATATATGTAATGTGTACAAAGACTTTTTAAACGTCGAAATAAAATAAAGGCGATAAGAACGTTTTATTTATTTTATTTCATTAAAGCTATCACACCTATTTAATAGATAAGTTCAAAGAAAATGCGCGAATATTTACTCGTGGCGTTTGGCGCAAATTATTGATAGTGACCCGCCTTTTATGATTCTTAGACAGGTGTACTGTTGCAAAAGTATACACACAAGTATATTTAGAGCAGTACTCCAAAAAGCTTAATGGTTTGCGCGTTGGGGATAAAACAGAAAAAGGCAACATGGGTTCAATCCTCTTTGCGACCAAAATTTTGAATCGCTTTTCAGCTCGATTTTACGAGATTTTTTTTCCTGAATCGGACGGAAGACCTCTCGTTGCTCGCAACGAGATTGTTTCTAGTTATTATTATTATTCCTCCCAAATTTTGTGAGCGCGATTACTCAGAGATGGTTGGATAGATTTCGACAATTTTTCACAAGATAGTAGGCTGATATATGAAGTTTATATTAAATTCCGTTTTTTGAAAAATTCACTTCCGGTCCGAAGTTATGGCCGAATTTCCAATTTTTAAATGACAATTTGTCCGGAAATTTTCTTGAGAACGAGTTGAGCTAAAGATGTGAAATTTATAGAAGTTTTATATTATGACATTGTCC